CCCCAAAACCCCAAAACCCCAAAACCCCAAAACCCCAAGAAGGGGAAGATGTGCTGAAGTTTATATTATTATTTAATACAGTATGAAATTTATAGGAAAAGGGCAAGGTGAGTGGGTTTTTTGTACTTGTTTTGGAGGTGTTGGGGGAGTTGATGGGGGTGGGGTGAGAGGTGTTTTGGAGGAGTGGGGGATGATGTGGTTGTAGGTGGCCGTGAGAGAGGTGATAAGTGTTTTGACAGGAATTTTGGGTCGAAAATGAATAGAGATATTGATTGATTCAGAGAGTTAAATCATTCAAATAGATCAAGTAAGATATTTCCATAATAATATTAATTAAACCTTACCTTCAATGTAAATAGACAAACTGAGCTCATCGAATATCTCATCATTCAGATCAAACAAGCTTATCGGTCATGGTAAAATAACTCAAAACTTCTATAGATTTTGAAAATGTATCATCAGACAGATTCAAGGTGAAACCTGCTCAAACCCTAAAGTAATCCATATTTTTCTTCTGGTCAAATCACTAATAACCAATACCCAACATATAGTGCTTTATAATTTCTATAAAACAATAATTTTTCCTCAGCAATACTATCCCGTTTTTAACTAAATAAGTCAACTTTTTACCTTTTATAGTTCTTTTTTTGAAGTTAAATTGGCAGGTGAGATGGGAGTCGATAATAGGAGAGATTATATAGATATTTTAACCTTGTAAACCTTTATAAACAATCTATACCATCATAAAATTGTATCTTCAAACAACTCTAACTCAAAGTCTCTCCTATAACTTCTCTTAACCCTCTAACAGACCTCTCCAAATCCCCCCAACACCACCTACCGCACCCACTCCCCTCACCATCTCCTCTTCCAAAGCCTCTAAAATCCCTCTCAAGCTCTCCAACACTCACTTCCAGGTAAGCACCACAGCCCCAGCCACCCCATCCAAACCTCCCTTCCCTCTTCGTGCACACCTTTACCCTCTATCTCCCAGTAACATACCCATTCAGCCCACTGCCATCTCACCTCACTTGTAAGACCAAAACTGGGTCTTCAGCCCTACTCCTCCTAACCACTCTCTGTTCCAACTTCCTTGGCGCTCGGAAGAGCACCGAGGAAGTTGGGTCTGAAGGAGGAGAAGAAGGAAGAGGCTTGTGAAGAGGAAGGGATGGAAAGAGGGTATGTGGATTAGGGATGATGTGTGGAAGAGGGGATATTTGGGAGAATGGATGAGAAGTTTTAGAGAGTTAGTTAGGTAATTGTATGTTAAGAGAGAATTGCATTGGGAGGGAAGAAATTAATTGGAATATTTTTAGTTTGAAGGACAAAAGATTACAATACTGAGATCATTAAAATCTCTAATTTCACAACAGAAAGGAATAAGTATGTTTGGGATATTCATTTTCAAATTTTATTCGAAAATACATTATCCATCATATTATAGAAAGTATTAACGTTCGTTACAAAGCGGTCCAAAAGCTCAAACAGTCTAAAAATCCAATGAAGTATACCTCAATTTGATCAAACTCAACTCCTAAACTACCAAAACCATGAATCTCAAAACTTAAAATCCTTAATCCTTCTCCCCAATTTCCTAGAAATCCGACTCCCTCTACCAAAAAGTAGCTGCTACCTTCACCTCATTTAGAACTGACCAGAAGAGATTTACCATTAAAGCTGCTTCTTATAAATCTCTGCATAGTTCACTCTCAAAGCTCAAGAAGCCAAAGGGATTCCTCAGTAATATAATTCTCCTTCCAATCTGACTAATTCTGCAGACAAAACCTTCAAAGGCTGTCTTAAGATCAAATCGACAAAATTCAAGGCACACAAGAAACCTCTTGTGACAAGTCACAAGGAGTTGAGGTGTGGCTGGACTTCTAAGATCAAGTGAAGACAGAGTGAAACTAGTAAACGTGACTTTTAAGTATTCAGATCATATCCAATCAATATTGGATACACTCGAGGGGTTTTGGGGTTTTGGGGTTTTGGGG